ACTTGGGGATTAAAACTAAGTAACCAATTACCAGGGTAATTGGAGGTTGACCTCGTGGTCAAACTGCTTGCATAGGTCAGGTTTCTCTCGTCTTATGTAAGCAGCTTCCAAGTAGCGCAAGGTTCGAATTGTTCGGGCCCGAACATGTACTCGAAATGCCATTTTGACGTCGACGGAATGACCGCTGTCTAGTAGATGTTTAGTAATAGAGGAGCCTGGTACTCTGTCTTCTTGCTTGAAAAGCCAGTTGGGCAAGTGCTCAGCGGCCCTGGCCGCCAGTTGCCTTTGCGTGCGCCCAATGTACTTGCATCCGCAAGTACATGTGAATTCGTACTCACAATTTGAGGTGGCGTGCAATGGCAAGGCATTTTTTGCCCGTTTTGCTGGAATGCTTTTAGTCGGACTTAGGAAGACGAGTTTTGCTGCGTTGTAGGTCCTTTCTAGGGCCCACCTTCGCAGATGTCTTTATGGGTCATCTTGAAGAAAAGGCGTCATCAAGACTTAATAAGACAAAATTATATCGACGATATGTGGACGATATATTCACGATTGTGGATTCTAAGGAAGACGCCGACAACCTCCTCAATTTTATGAATGCCCTACACCCAAAGGCAACTCGCGGCCTTAAGATAATATTAATAGTAGTAGTAATCGCAGCAGCAGTATTTTCATTAGTAGTCCTAGTGGTAGCTGTTGGTGTTTTGTTGCGGTAGAATTTACGATAACAGAAGTAGTGGCGATGATTCCTCTTTTGGCATGCCGATTGCTCTATGTTTGCAAAAAAAATTAGTTTTTTCCGAAGCTCTCTAGACAATGTGGCCGTCCTCCAATCCGCCTCGGAAAAGTGGCCTTCATCCCAAAATTTAAGGTTATCTCTTCGTTCCAGAAAAGTCCATGAATTTAATGCTGTCATTACCTTTCATCTCGAATATGCCATCAAATGTTTGAGTTAAATTACAAAATATCATATGGGATTTGGGATGGGCCAAAATATTCCTCTTGACTTGGGCTAATAGAAGTAAATTGAAATGCCCAGGTTATTTTTTTCAAAACATCTTTGAGCTGCCAAGGAGTTACGACTCTCAGCATAGGCCTACCGTGCGAGACATACAGGCGACAATAGCGATTGAACAGCGGAACGAACTATAGAAGTTGCTTGCTCTCAACATCTAAGCATATTTCCGGTCGATTAGTCACGTGTACTGATAGGCGTGCAGTGTATACTCCAGATGGTTAAGCAAACATCTTCGGACTGAGTGAACACACATCAACCTCGTAACCCTGCAGCATATTTTAGGAACTTAATCTATGCATTTTAGAAAATATGACGGTAACGATGACTTGTATGGCCTCTTAAACGGGAAACGGTGATATGAATGTCCTCACCTAAAAGGGGGTAGGAGTTCCTTATAAACATCACCGCACCGAAGTTTACTATAAATAACTAACTAATTTTTTCGTGGTAGC